AAAGTGGTAATTAATTACGTTAATTACGAATTACGTATTTACGGTAATTAGCTAATTACCATATCATGTATAATTAGAATATCAAGAGGTTTTTGAAAATTTAATTACATTGAAAGAGGAAAAAATGATTTGGAGATGTTCCAAAGTATCTAATTCTTGGATAAGTAAATATTTATTAAAGCAGAAGCAATTTCCACCACAAATTGCAGTTGCTGTTCAAAAAACTTACAACAATGGTAAAAAATTTCTTAGGAAACATGTTTATTGCAGTGGTTTTAGAGTAAAAAATCAAAAAACTTCATTCTATTTTGATATCTGCAGAATGGATCTGTTAAGTCAAAAAAACACCATTACTATTAGTATTAAATATTTAGAAGATCATGATACTTGTCATCACATTGCTGGGAGATTCTATGAACAATGTAGAGGAATCATTAGAGAAGGATTGAAGGACAATCCGGAGATATCAGAAAAGAAGCATTAAAAGATATTAGGCCATACATAAGATTTACTGGAAACAGGCAAAATGTTCCTTCAGCGAGTGCTTTTAGAACTATAAAGTCTGAATCTAATCCATTAAAAGACCATAATTTGCTTGAAAAAATGCATGTCACAATTATGGAAGTAAATCAAGCAGAGAAAGATGATTATGTTAAAAAAAATGGAATGGATTCATTAAACAAAAGAAAATTATTAGGATATATTCAGGATCCAGTCCAGACAGAACCATTGTCAATAGTGTTTTATAATAAAGCATCTCTTAAATACTATCATCTTTATGCTTCAAGAAACCCTGGTATTTTCATTGATTATACAGGACAGCTCATCAAGCCTGTACCTCCATATTTATGTGCCAAATATCAAGACAATCAAAATGATTATAAAAAAATACTAAATGCACTTATAACAATGCCATCAGGAAGTGGACCCAATGCACCACCAATAGATATTTTAGAATTAGTTGCCAATGATCTTACTGCAAGCAATTTGTGAAGATATGTTAATAAATTAAGATATGATGAATTCCAAATTTATAAGTCACAGACAATACCTTATCTAATTATGTAACAAGTTACTTGTAGTCATATACAACATCTTGTGTAGTACATTAATATTACATCTGGAAACATGACACATAATTAATCATTATTTGTAACATCAATTATTTCGTGTCTTTAATTACTATTTATTATTTATCTATGTCCACAAATCTTCCAGATAGATTGATAAGAGTTATTATGATTATTTTATTTATATTTTATCAATCTTTTATTATTATTTATATTTTATTTACATTATATCAATCTATATAAAGGACATCATTTTAAGATAATAAAGATAACTTGTATTTTTACAATAATTAAAATACCTGTTCAACGAATGTGTTATGATATTGTTTTTATTTTCATTAAGAAAAGTAATTCTTACACAAGCTCTCTAGCTTTATCTAATTTTTCCAGGTCATTTTGACTGATTTTTGGTTTTTTTTCACTAATATATTGGTTAAATGTATTAATGAAACTAGAGTAACAATGAGTGGTGGGCAATAACCACCACCACCATCCTTAAAACATTTACCCAGCCAATGCATTACCATGATCATTTTCTTGTCTTCTTTTATTGTTATTGCTTTTATTTGGCATTTTAATAAAGAAGTTTGTTATTTTATCAACATGTACACATTAATTATTTATCCTATTGGTTTTTTTTTTGGTATATAGGACAGATGCAAATTGATTGATTTTTTTTTTTGGAAAACAAAAAACAATTTATTTTTTGACAGAGTCCAAGGTGACAAAATGTGAGTGTTGTTGTTTGGTTTGGTTTGAGTTTCCTAAAGAATATGTGTTAATAACTAACCAGAGGTACTTTTTTTTATTTATATTGATATGTATGAGGTGTCTTTTATTTTAGCTTATAAATATTTTAATTGGAAATCAAAACGTGGAGCAGATCTTGCTGGTAATTACAAGATTTTCATTGATAATATTTTGCTTTGCATAATCAATAATAATATTATTATATTATTATATTATTATAATTACAAGATGTCAAGGCAATATACTGTTTAAAAAGAAACAATTTGATATGCAATGTTTGATTATTGGAAATTTTTAGAGATGTTGAAGCATGCATGCTACCTTGAACACTTTATGGTCATTCACATATGTTCCTCATGTAAGGTTGTGGGCGAAACCTCTTAATGACTGTTGAAACTCTGTCAAAACTCTAATGAACAATTAATGTGTAACCTGTTGAAACTCTGATGATTGGCAAAAACCCCAAATGCGAAACTCTGCCGAAACTCTAATAAACAATTAATGTGTAACCTGTCGAAACTCTGTCGATTGAT